ATTAATACTAGATTATAAAAAATTACGGAATAATTCAGGAAAATAGGCGCTATTACTGTCTATCTGCATACAGTTTAAAATAGAATAGATGGAAGAATAAGCACCTTGTAATACTAGACACCATTAGAATGCTATGAAAAATAGACCATAGAAAAGACAACGATAGGTTCGAGACACCCAACATTTGAAAATAAGCCAAGTCTATTTGTAGGGATTTTCAGAGGAAATAGATTAGATATATTGAAATATTTTTCGATCAGTGAAGATAGCTAAATAACATAAATATTTTTAGAGAATTATATGAACGCATGTGAACAATAAATAAATTCAGGACGAGTATACAAAATAATTGAAGCAAGCAATGTATAATGTAAGGGTTGTATTCACCATATTTCCTCTAAAGTAAAAGATAGATATTTGAATTTTTCAACAATGATATAAGTATGTATCACGTTTCATTGAACTAAACAAAGCCTTGCTTCGCAAAATGTATTTGAAATTCAAAGGAAATCTGGGGCCATTCATAGTATTGTGGGAAAATTTAACTACCAGTCGTTTACCAGGTTAAGAGAAATAGGGTGCACGTAAGTCTTATATCAGATTTAGAGTTTGTCTCAAAAACGTAATTATAAACGGAAAATGACATGTTGCTTTCTCCATTGACATGATTATGAATAATGAGGGTAAGTATGCTCATAACGTACCAACTGGCCAGAGAAAAATTACATCTAGGATGGTCTTGGACATTATCAGAGCATCTTCGTCAGAAATTGAGTAGTCGAACTGTTTTACAAGCTCAAGAAAATGTGGCGGAAGCTTCGGAGTGCATTCGTCGTTGAAAGCCGTTAGTTTGTCTAAAGATGAAGGAATCAGAGAGCAAATGAAGTATAAAAATTGGCGAAATAAATAGTTATTGAATAAAGAAAATATGACTTGGAGGTTTGTCAGCAAAGCTGAAATCTGGTTGAAAAGTATAATAAGGCTCACTAATTGCAAAGGATGCAGTGTATATATTTTTAAAGTGATAATGCAGCTCATCCTTGCCTCTAAGATACACATACAAGTCTTAAATGTATGAAAAAAGGTATGTGACTAGCTAAGCGACAAAAGTAACTTAATGCCAGAGGTTGGGCGGTATAATTACCAATACTATTGATCATACAATTACTTATTTGTAACCTGTTTGGCCCTTATTGTCCCGCAATCACGGTATGCAGGGATGATGACTTTCCTCCAAGTATCTACTATAAGTTGTTTATATACTAGTGCTGAAATAATTTGGTAGTTCTAAGCTCATAAGTGCAAAAAGAGGCAAACGAAAGCCATATAAAAAGAGTCAGATAGAAAAGACCTTGAGTATATAAAGCTTTTATCAAAATAATATGAGGCGTCGATGCTAGTTATATACGAGTATGTAGTGACCTATCTCCACACTTTTCCTATTCAATTTTTTGTTTTGGTTACATCCCATACGTAGCCATGGCTCAACGTCCTTTTGCTCAGAGATCACGAGAATGTGACTAATCTTGACTCTATTTCGCATGGCCCAATCAAAGCTTGGCACCGTATCATCCAATCAGAAGTTGACATGGAAAACTACTCAAAGGTATATCAAGTAGTTAATATTCTGCTTAAATCGGCCACGTTCTTCCTCCCTTTCTCCGCTCCGCCGTGTCCCGCGGGGTTTAGAATGTTATATTTGGCGCCATGCTTCAATGATTGTCTTCCTATTATCAGTTCCCCCATACTGTATTCGACCGTTTCAAAATAGGACAATTGATAATACTATTTGCTTCGTTTCGAGGCCTCCATCTTTGGAGCTGTAGAGGTTAAGCGTTTTATATTTTAGAGGCAGTACACGTCCTTCTTAGTAGCACAACAAGTACATATATCAATATGGTCAATCATTTAAGTAACATTCCCTGCCCAGTGGTTCTTTATGCTCCAGTACCCAAGGCCAATCCAACAGCCACAAATAGTTCACATTCAATTTCTTACACTTATTACCCCCTAACAAGGAAGTTGGCTAAATGTTGTGCAGATTCCATAATATTGCACATAGATGAAAACTCCTTTAGATTCTTGTATTTGGCGTCCTGTATCAGTCATGTGAAGGGCTAGTCCGGAGTTTCAGATATGTAGACCTTTGCAAACAGTTTTGAGTGCTATCTTTTTATAAATTGTTCTAGTGTTGAATTACCTCTTTAGTTCTCCACGGCTCACTATCATGTGACTCGGGTCAATATATGATGACAATTCTTCAAGTATGACGTAAGAGACATCAACAGAGCATGAAATAATTTCTCAGTAAAACTTAACTGAGCATAAAGCCAAGAATAGTGGAAAGGTATGATTTTGCCTAATCCCATGGCCCAACTTTGCGCATTCAATAAAGCATCTTGTGAATATATTGCCTACTCATTGCTTCCCCTAAATACTCGTATTTAAGTTAATATAATGAGAAAAAAGTTTAAAATTGATGTGGTTTCGAACAAAATAGCTTTTTCCCAAAATTTACACAATTTTTCTGTGTTGATGCGTTGATACTTGTGTTATTTTGCCCATGTGTTATATGTATGCAGGACTCATTAGCCATATGAAATGAGAATTTAAACTAGGCTCAAGGCAAATAAAGGCCCCCTGCTCTAACTCCCTCCACCTCCCTATACCGAAGCCTATTTAACAACTCTCTAATCGTGACGCCTCAATATTCAATACAAGCAATACACGAGCAAACGAGTAGAATAACAATAATCCGCACTACATGTGATATGTACGAGAAAACAGCCGTCCGCCCATAAAAATATCGACTTCAAACGCCACTCGCAGGCATTAAACTTTCTTGCAAATATGTAGATAAATGAGAAAATAACTAACATAATCATCTTATTATAGTGAAAAAGTCAGGCTAAGAGGTAACTATGATAATTGCTGGCCACCATTTTCGGCTTAGCACTTGTCTAGTTTTTCCATAGGAACGCTTCGTGATTTAAAGATGCCTGTCATAAGAAATGAAAGATCAGCACAGATTCACAAAAATAACAAGGTGTCGAGGACTTCTACTTTCAAATCAACAGTAGCAAAGGCAAAGTGATCATCTTTAGATTTCTGATGAAGTCAATCTAAAAAATCCCTTCCACTCGCCTTTACGAAAGAAATAGAAAGTGCTGCAGCATGACTCATCATGGGATTCTTCGCAATCCGGCTTCTCTCCATAAATATAAGTGAGTAAATATAATGTAATATACACAAAACTAACCTAGAAGCTGATTGACTGTGACTGCTTTGATAAGGACAGCTACCTCAGCAGGAAAACACGCGTTGTACGGAGAAACAAGCTCAAGCTGAGATGGAGATTCATTGGTGGGTAGGTTGCCTTCACCACTGGCACCACTGGGACTGGTAGCAGAGCCAGGTATATACCTGCTGGTACCAGTATAAGGATCAATGTAGTCGGAAGTGAAGCTTCTGGGGTTAAGAGGTCCGGCATTAGTGATTATGTATTTTGCTACTTGATCTAAATACGTTTGGGGAAGATCATATTTGTGGATAAAGGTCTGTGCCACCATCCAAGGGTCATCAGTCCGATTGTAGGGCAGTTTAACAGGCGGATTGTTTGGATCAAAGTCCACGGTAAACACGAAGTCATATTCCTGTGGCCATATAAGCAAGAAAATATTAGAGGTTGTGGAGAAAATGTTTAATATTGTTACAATATCTAAGGGTGTCTTATGTTAACAACCAACAACTCAAGAATCTTTCTGCTGTCACTATTGGATATTCTACTACCTACAATATTGGTCTGACATTAAAATGCATCCTTAACCTTCAAGTAGGTATGAGAACAACATTGCCCCAATTTATTCTTCGAAGCATTTAAGAGTAAGGCTCCTAGTATAAGCCCATTTTGTGTGAATATTTCTTTTATCAGGCCCAAAATATCCCACTAATGTAAATTGGAATGATTTACTGATAAGTCAGACAGGAGTTACAAAAAATGATAGAACAAGTAAAGAAGATAGATAAAGCGTGACCAAAATTCAGCATAGCAAAGTAACAGGAATACCAAACAAACCGAGATCTTATGTGTATTCACCCTAGTTTGAGGTGATGGGGACTGATAGTTGAATGTTCCCACAATGATGGGTAGAGCTGACACTTCCATCAATTTTCACAGCCTTGCTTTCCTAAAAGGTATTCTCATCCAGGGTGGACTGCAGCATCGACCTCACCTAGGTCTTATCAACAACCCCAGTGGAACTCGAACCATGACAATGTCGTGTATAATCTCGACACGTTAACCACTATGCCACATTGCCAAGAGTGCCATTTGGTCACAGGGTAGATAAGAATACCTTTTGGGAAATCAAGATTATGTAAAGTTCCGAGAAAGTGTCAGCTCTAATCATATCATTAAGAGAAATTTCAACTACCAGTCATTCATCAACTAAATAGGGCAAATATATCTCATATTATTGATTTACTGGTAGTTTCTAAACCCTACTTATTAATTAAAAACCGAAATTGTCAGTTTAACTTCGTTTTCACAACTTAGTCGGGATGACAGAATCGGTAGAAGGTACCCAATCCTGCGTCCTTTGTCAAAGTAATCATGATAATTCCAAGCATAGGGCACTGAACTTGGTAGATTTCCAGACGTTTCGCAGGTATTTTTATCGAGGCGCTATCTTGTGCATCCCCTACAAGGTGTATCGGTCACTCCGACAAAATTGCGAAAACGGAGTCAAACGAACACTATACAATTGAAGAGGACGGTGACCAAACCTAAGTTCACACCATCTTGGTCCCCACATCCACAATCAAAACAAAGTCCTTGCTAAGCAAGATAAAAAATCAGAACATAGTTATCCTTCAGTCAGTTTGAGACAGACTTGTTGGTAAAATATTTTCTCATCACACATAAAGAATTTTATCTTAAAGAGATAAATGTTGGAAATAATTGAAGATCATGATGAAGTTAAAAAAATGCATAACTATCTCACATACAATTTAGGCCAACTTATTTCTGAAAGTCATTTTTGCGCCTTTAGGTTCAGCATAGTTGAATATGCAAGGTTATGAAAATTAAAAAAATTAATCGAACGAAAAATAGAACATATTGTATGAGTTATGTTAACCCTATTTCATGTAAGGAGATGAAGGACTGGTAGCTCATTCTTCCCACAATGATATGATATGATGTTCCTATAGAATTTGACAGCTCTGCTTTCCCAAAAGGTGTTCTCATCCAGGGTGGACTGCAGTTTCGACCTCGTCTAGGTCTTATCAACACCCCCAGAGGAAGTCGAACCACAACAGTTGAGCGTGCAATCTCGACACATTAACCACTATGCCACATTGCTACGAGTGCCCTTGGGTCACAGGGCAAATGTGAATTTTAAGGAAGGTCAGGCATTCTTCACATCACGCACTTTGTTAGGATTGTCGATGAAGCAAACCAATATTTGGTAGAGCAATCGACGGCATTAGTTTATTCGTTATTGAGTAGGCTTTCGAGACTACAAGGAAATCATGTGAGTTGTGTTCACCCAATTTCGTGTGAACACAACTCATAAATGAATAAAGAACATATTTTAGTTTGTAAATAATCGCTTACTTTGCCTTCAAATAACTGCCGTGAGCTCGATAACCCATCGCTCTGCTGTGAGGTACCAACCACATCACCGATCTTGATCCAGCGTTGCTCGGCTGATGACCACTGATAGCACATTGCCCGACCGTCTTCGGATATTACTTTGACCTGACCCTCTTTCGTTCCTTCCAATTGATATATGGGAGTAATAAGGTAAATGTGGGGACAATGATAGCCATTTATGAAAAGTAAAAGGGTGGAAACGAGTCAGAAAACGACTTAAAACAATATAAAGCTCCCCTCAAGTCTAGATAACAGCCTGAGAAATGCTATCTCACCGAACTGATTCTCAACTGAGATGCCAACGCAGATAAAATGAATACAAGCAGCAATCCTCAAAGTCAAAGCAGAAAGGCATGATAATAATCAAAATAAGGGCAGTTTTATCTTGTCTGAACAGGGACCTTCAATGACTTAGGCCAAAGTGTACGAGCAAGCTTTCCTTTGTATATAGGTTACAAG